AGGGGGGATACTAGGAGTTTAGACTATAGCTCACATGTCAGCATGCTACTATGGCTTGGCTGATGTCGGAGAGGTCACCATAATCACAGATCCAGTCCCGAAGACGGTGGACGAGTTGCAGCGCTGTTGCACTGGTACTTGTTGTTGTGACATTGTGACATGTTGTTTTATGCTCACATGTACCGTCTTGCGGCAGTGGGAACTAGTACTTGTAGGTTCTCACATGACAACCCACATTTATCTTCAAACGCAGTGTATCACGCAAGGCGAGAGGAGATAGATGTCTTGGCGGCCTCGCTGACAGCTGGGCTCCAGGCCAGCGACGAAGACGCGGAGGCAGGGCTGTGAGCTAGCAGCTAGCACGTTCTTGGCCACTGTCTGTGTCAGTGTGGTTTCGTATGTTTCGCGCTCTGTGGCACAGGTGGCCACGCTGCCACCGGATGAGGGCGAGGTGCCCACGCTTCCTCCAGACGAGGGGGAGGAGCAGTCGCGCGCCCCATCCGAGGCCGCTGTCGTTGTCGCCGCATTGAGCCCAACGATCTTTGACATCAAATGCTAGTTATTGTTCAGGCCACAATTATGTGTGGGCTGCCCAAGAGCAAGGATGAGCTGCCACTTGGCCTGCCGCGATACCTTCGCAGTGTTTGCAACTTTGCATCCTCAATCCCTATATTACCGCTATATTACTGTATATCCCCTATATATATAAACCCATTTTCCAAATCCTTCTATAACCCCTGTAGCTTCCATTTTATTTTCCATCATCCCAAAATAACCCCAATATACTATAGTAGCTTCCATTTTCTTATCCACACGAGCCCATTATAGTAGTTTCCATTTTTTCCATTATCCCACTATATAACCCCTATATAATCCCTGTAGATTTTCTTTCCCATTATCCCACTATTACCCCACCCTAGACCCAAAACCCAAAATCCTAAACCCAAACCCCTATACGGGTAAGTTCCGTGGGATGAGGCTTGCAGAGATGGATGTTCTGGCGTCCTCTCTGACACATCTTTCGCTGGACCATGCGCTGCAGGCTAGGTCAGGTGAATATTATATTGGGGATATATGGGGATAACGGAAAAGAAAACAGAAACTACTATAATGGTTTCGTATAGGGTTTAGGGTACAGGGATAATGGAAAAGAAAATGCAAACTACTATAGTATATAGGGGATTTATGGGAATAATGGAAAAGAACACGGAAACTACTACATTCTAATATGGGAATGTAGGAAAATACTATGAAAACTACTACATTATAATATGGGAATGTAGTATATAGGGGTTATATGAGGGTTAAGTTTTTCAGGTACATGGTCTTTGCTCCTTGTAGCAGGTGGCTGCTGTTGACGCAGCAGAGAGTGCAGGCTCAGGTGTGCTTGCCAGTGCCAGCTGTCTTGACGGGACTTGTGGCATAGCACTTGGGCAGTTGGAGAGTTTCAGAGGCCAAGTTTCCGTCGCATCGTCGGCAGTGGATTTCTCGGAGGACAATCATCTGAGCAGCCCTAAACCCTGAACCCTAAACCGAAAACCATAAGCAGGGTTGACCTCACTAGCCTTGGCCAATTGCTTCATCAGGAGGGCCCCGGACTACCTTCCGCTAATGATATGGGGGAAGGAGTTCTTATCTAAAGCATATAGTATGATATTTGCAATATACACGCAGAACCCAAGGTACCTGTGCTAGGTACCGGAACCCTTCGGGCAATGGACATTTGTGATTTATAGAAGCACCGGCCGCAGGAACCTAAGAAGCCAACACACAACCTACTAGAGACCCCAGTGAGAGTTTTGCGAACTCATCCTTACGTCATCCTTGCAAGAGGACCCACTACAGGCGACCCTGTAAACCCCGAACCGGCTGGCCCTTTTTGAGAAGATTTCGCCTCACTCAGACCACGAGGATCTGCTCCGCGCTGTGTGCGAGCCTCGCGACTCCCGTAATGCTTCCTGGGTGGCCTCACAGGTGCCTGCACCCAAAATGCAAAGGAAACGCTCGCTTTTTTTTTTTTTTTTTTGCTTTTTTGCTTCGGGCTCAGGGCACGGTTTTTCTTGGAGGTTCTTGCAGCTTTCAGCATCTGCATTCTAAGTAGTGGCATGAGCGATGCCTGACCAGATCCTTCTATGATACGCTTAGCTTGCCTGGCCAGGCCCCAGAAATGCTACTCAACTTCAGCTGCTGCTTTCAGTCGTAGCTGCATACCCATGCTTCAGATCTGAACTTAAGATAGTCTAAAATTCTACTATGAAGCGTCTGCGATGGGCTTGCAAAAAGATCTTCAATTCAGGGAAACATTAGAAACTTGACACATGCTTCCATGCAGTTACAACCTAAATTCAGCCTGCCGCAGTTGTGTTTGTACAGTTTCCAGAAGTATCTTGCGCAGCCACTGCCTCCCACCTCCGCCTCCGCTCCCAAGACACCCAAACCCTAAACCCTGAACCCCAGAACCTAGACCCTAAACAAAAGTCTCCTGGCTTCAAGAAAACCCCAAACCCCAAACCCTAAACCCGGGTACAAAAGAGGCACTGCAAAAAACAACCTAAACCCTAAAACCTAACCTGAATCCTAAACCCAAGCCAGGGGCTGTGTTGTTTGCAGGCGAGCCTGGAGATCGAGGCAGCCACGGCTGGCCCCCAGGCCTCCTTTCGATGACCGTAAACAAGGGCCTCCTTCTATCCTCAGAATGATGTATTCACTAGCGGTGGGATCCGGTTTTGGCACACACTCTTACGGTCCTGACCTGTCATGGTTACCATAGTGGGAGCCTGTTCAACATGTCTAACGAAGTTTAAAGAATCGCACTTCTTCTTCCCGCAGTTTTTGTCCATGTCAATTGTCATCGTAGGTGTGCTCTCATGCGGGACGTTGTGATTTGTCTTTCGAGACTTCGAGATATAGTTCGTCAGTTTGTTGAGCCCAAAATCGTCCGCTGGCTGGTCTTTCTTTTGCTCATCGTTAAGCCGCGAACTCTGCTGAAAATCCAGGGTCAAACACAATGCATTAATGCATTTGCTCTTGCTCTGCCTGAGAGTGTAAATAGCTCAGAAAACAGGATGAGGCGCAAGTTGAGCAAGACCACATTGCTCCATCTTGCTCTAGGCAATAACCCCAAGTCCCAACCTTGAAGCCCCAAGCTTGTTTGCCTTAGATCTGGATGCTGAAATCCATGGCTGAACTAGTGGTACTTAAGAAAACTCACGAGTTCCACACATTCTGAAGCCAACCTCCTGTTGCAGGAAAAGATCCTGGAGCAACGGCCATCCAGTGGAGGCGGGCATTGCGACTTAAGGATGATAATCGGATAACATTGGGATCCACTCTACAGTCCCCGTCCTGACAAGCCAAGTTCAGAGTGGGCATGGGGCCAGGTTCCAGGCCCTAGCTTGCTCACTCAACTGGGTGGTTGTCCAGGAACTTAATCTAAGTTACTACCTTGGGGAAACGACACTAATTACATCAAATGAATATATATATATATATACACACCTATTATGGTAACTTAATTTAAGTTCCTTAACAGCAACCCAGTCAATTCCGTAGCATGTCGAGCAACGTCGAGCAACATACAGCCTGGGAGGCTGCCAATCTGCCTCCTCGATCCCTGTTTCGGTGGAGGCCGTTGAAGTGCCCATCTTTTGGCAAACGCCCGATATATGGCGTGTATATAGGTGTTGGGCATATAGGGTTCAGAGTTTAGGGTATAGGGTAAATTAAGCTATGTTATCTTGACAGTTTTACACAGGTAGAGTTGGGTGTGTCCACTTGAGTACAGGCAGTCTCCGTACACAGCCCAGCAGCTGTTTTCAGGACATGGATGCATCCGGCAGCCTCCAGTTGACAGAGGCTGGGTGGCAGGTGCACCAAGAAGTAATGGCTCCCTTCCCCCAATATGTGCCTTATAATCCCCATATTCCATTATAGTAGTTTCCATTTTCTTTTCCATTATCCCAATATAACCCCAATAGGCCCTTCCTTGTCATGTTGCACGATGTTGCGCCCTTGTCAGACGGCCTTCAGAGCAGCTTGCCAGCAGCTGAGCGAGGACAGCCGCTGCAGGGGACGCCTAGCAGAGTTCGAAAGAATCTTCTAGTTATTCGAGTTGCTCAAAACTCAGTTGCGGGGACTTGGCAACTTTTCAGACTGGTATTTTCGATAAGGACACTGCAGATTACGCAAAGGTCGTCTGCCATAATTGTCTTGATGTGGACCTCGACATCTGCTGTTTTGATGCAGGAGCGCGCTCAGGAAGAGGCCGCAGCGAAGGCACCTCCCTGAATGCAAAGGGTGGTGCCACTTCTGTATAGTGTACATAGCGAAGACTGCGTAGAGACGTGACGAAAGCCTTCTGATTTAAGAGGGGGTATGAACGGAATCACGGTTATCGTAGTGTACTTATGCAGCAGGGGTTTCCAATCCATCTCATGCCAGATTCCAGCTGCGAATGCCAAACCCCACAAGAATAAAGGCAACAGACTCTTCGGGGCTCTGAAAGTTCAGCATGCCCACGAAAAGAGCACAATTGTGCAACCCAGAGCAGGAAGCTGATAAATGGGGAGCTTCAGATTTTGGCCTGAAACCACCCACTCGAGTGGAGTCCCCAGCCCGCACCAAAAAAAAGAGCACAACACGGCAAAGCAATACAACAATGGCAGCAAATATTCCAATTCTATGGCGAGGTTCCTCCCCGATGCAGAATGCGATTCTAATTTCTTGTTTTGCTAGGCTTTTGACATGGCAGGTTTGGAGTCCATAAGCCAGAAGAGCTTTTTTGAGTCGAACGGGCTCCTCCGAGAAGGGTGCATCGATTGTCAACAAGCTGGGGAGGGGGCAATCTCTGTATGTCTGACGTGCAGGCGGCCGTCACAACAACAGCAGAAACGGCGAAGACAAACCAAGAGCAGCTGCTAGGCGGCACTTTTGTCGTGAGGGTTGGTCTCGGATGATGCAACTCAAGTGTGGACAGCTTCTGAGTACGTCCATACTCTGAGGCTGGACGAAATCGATGTCATCGAGGCCTCCCTGACCTACAGCTCCGAACTGCCCACGGACGTTGGTCTGGAGGCGTTGGATCCTCTAAATTAAGTGGGTGATGCTGCAAAGTGACCTGACAGGCCTCTGGACCGTCCCGCACTGCAGAGGAGCTGGAATTGGAGGCCTGACCTACAGAGCATTCGCCTGTCGGCTTTTGTCTTTGCGTAGATGCAACAATTCATGAACTTGCCGCGCTCAGGTGAGAGATCTGAGTCCGATTCAAGAAGAGCATCCACCTTCCGATGATTCCCCACCAGCCATTGCCGTGCAGGCTGCGGCTGCGCAAGCTGTCGTCCAATATGGAACCTAACTTGGGCTCGTGCTTTGGGGCCGCAGCATTGAGTAAGATTTGCCTGCAAGCAGGCGACGGATGACGACCACATCCCAAAGACAAAGGATGAGCTGTGGCTCAGCTATACAGCTACATTTCAGGCAGTTACGCTTTCGAACTCCGGCGACTCACGGCAAGTCATTGTCAATCCCTGCCCCCTCTTCTGAGGCGTCAAGAGATGGATGTCCTGGCTGCCTCCCTCACGGCTGGTCTAAACCTACCTGCACTCCAAGACGAAGAAGGGGAGGCTAGCAACCTCATCAAGGGCTGACAGCATGAGAGCGCAAGGAGCTACAGTCAAGTCACTGTATGTCACTGTCATTTTCTCGTGGCATGCTGTTCTGAACAGTTCAGTTCTTGATTCTGATGCTGGTCGTGTTTCTCGTTGCATCTACTATTACAACCGACGAGCATGACCAGGACGATGAATAACAGTACCCATCACGATGAATAACACTACCCATAAGCCTCCGACAAGCAGCGCGACCGCTCCCTGATACGATGATGTTTATCTTTTTCGTGGCCCCTTATTCTTGCTCCCTGGACTGGTTAATTCCGAAAGTAGAGTTAACCCATCATATATACATATATGCTCATATATATATATGATTCTATAACGGTAGGGCTCGCAAAATGCCCGAATCTCAATCTGAATGCAGGTAGAAACCTTGGCGCCTGGGCAGGCCCAGAAGAACTCTGTTTCTGTCGGTTCTCCGATTTAGAAGAAGCAGGTGGTAGGTTGTCAGAATCATATTGCAGTTACGGGCCCCAACATTTTACGGCCCGCTAGTAAGTAGGGTACCCCCAGAAGGCCCATTCCTTTTTTACAATTCGGCACGCAAGGCAGCTTATTATGATGGTAAAACATGCCAGCCATGGCTGTGCGATCCTCACCACTGCTAGAATGAATGATTGGTAGTAGTGGTGGTTGTAGCATGAGTATTTTCACTTAAGTACTGGTCTGCTGCTGCCTGTCGTCCTCCTTTTCTTCTTCTACAACAAGAACACGTCCTCCCGCCGCCACCACCGCCGCCGCCGCCGCCGCCACAGCCACCGCCACAGCCACAGCCACATCTACCGCGTTTGCAACTTCCGCTTCTACCACTACTATGTCGAACTGCGCTAAATCTTCATCTGATTCTACTGCTAGGGTTCTGCCACTGGTGGTGTCGGCGCTAAACTGACAACTGTTACCAACACTGATGCAGGGAACCTGCTACGATTCCGAGGGTACTAATGCATCATGTTCTGACATCTGCTTTTGTCAGTCCTCATTGGCTTCACGATCATGTGAACGAGTTGATATGCCCTTACCGTGATGAGAGGCTGTGTCATTTTTTTAGATGGTGGTCTCTCACTTCTTGCGAGAATCTTGTAGCCTACTAAGTTTCTGGGTTTGGCTTCTTGCTCATTTTATCATAATGATCTTTCGGAAGCCTCAACTTCAAGAGCCTGAGTTGGCTGAAGCACATCCTTCGAGCTCTGTACTGTTACTATCATTATCATCTTGTTGTTGCTATTTTTTTGTTTTTATTTTTATTGATATTATGATTATTATTATTAATATTATCCTTATCTGTTTTTGATATTTGTTTTTTCTATTGCTAGACTATGCAGGAGGATCTGGACGAGATGGAGGCGCTGGTCGCGGAGGGGCAACCTCTGGATCCGGCGGTGGAGGCTGTCCTAGGATAGCTTTTCACAAGGGATTTCTTAAAGGGAGGCTTCTTAAAACCCTGTGGAAAGGGGCCAGCTTGAGAAACTCTCCGAGAGGAATCGAGACCTCTGTAAGCCCCTGACATTCCCAATTATCCTAGCACTGCTAGGGGTACTCTTTTTTGACGCTCAAGTGGTGGGTGGGAATGAGAATCGCAGAATTGCAAGATCATGGGAAGGTAGTATAGCGGGTAGATTGCTACAACAGAGTGCTCAAGCTAACTCCTGAGCTGTCCCAGGCACATGGCACCCCTCGAAGTGGCGCTTCAGGCATGACTGCCTGCGCCTGTTTGGGCTGCATCTCTCCTACTCGGCCCTTTTATCTTTCCAAGCCAGGCACCCTAGGCTTGGCGACACTGTAGTTTAAATTTGCGATGGAATTGCCTTGAGCGGCGTGTGCGGTGCCTGAGCAGGTCATACGTCAGTGGGGAGTGCAGCGTTGGACCTGGCAACGGACTGCAACGGGGTCAAACAGGTGTTTTCGAAGCTTGACCGTGGCATTACAAGACGCATTCCTGAGATTCCTGACGATGTGCCAGTACAAGTGTTCGCCAGGATCTGGTTCACGCCGCGTGCCGTGCCGAAACTCCACCGGAAGCAGTCTCCGTGGTAGTGTCGCAGGCACACCCGCTACAACCTGCCTTTCTGGTGACCCTTCATGCCCGCTGTTACGGCTCGGAATTCATTGATGTTGGAAGTTAAGCAGTTTCTTTGCAGCCTCGAGGCAAGATTTTTCAGACTCACCATGAAATGTTAATGTTGAGGTAGGATAGCTGGAAGCAAACCTCCTTAGACCCAAGCCTCGGCCCTCTGGTACCTGAAGCACTGGAGTCCAGTTCTTTCGGGCAGGCAACTGTGTCCGTTGAGGCCGCGGCCATCATCAGCTCTGCAGAGGACTGCGGACTTTGAGCAGGGTTTAGGATTCAAAGTGCTGCTCCTGGTTGCTTCCAGAGACCAGAATTTTTGTTTTTTGTCTTGAAGGTACCAAATATTCAGCAAGTGTTCAGCCTGAAAACTGGTGCGGAAGGAGAACCTCGTGCTGCGGCCAATCAGTGCAGGCACGCGGTTCTTTTCTGGCTTGCAAAGCAAAATCCCATTATGTTAAGGGATTGTCCAAGGCTTGATAGAGGGTCTTCCCTGTTTGAGGGCTCCTGAGGGTCTATTGGAGCTCTCAAAGGGGTCCTTGTGCAACCTTTGCCCTAACCATGTAACCCCCATGCATCCCTGCAGCCCCTCGGGGCCTCCCATGTTGAAACCCTAAACCCTAAATCCTAAGCCTTAATAGGATTGGAGAAAAACAAAACTTGACATGTTTGGTGTGGCAAGCTTGAGAGCGGCCAGGGAGCTTCCCAGCATCCTCACTGGAGGAGGACCGTCCTGCAGACGTGACAAAGAGCGCACGTAGTTTAGGGGTCTGAGGTTGAAGGTTT